TGCGAAGTTTACTTTTAACCAAGAGGAGGCTTGTTGCTGTAGGAGTACTGCATATATCACTCCAACTCACACCCAGGCATTGGGCCTTGAACAGCTTTCTTCCTGCCCTTGCTGCCCAAGTGCAAGAGATCTGACAATTATGACAATTCTTGCCTAATTGGACAATTATTGCCTACAGCACAGCCAAGAAAGGGGATCCAATGGAACGGTGACCTGTGGAACTTCCCTTCTCTGACCCTTGGGACACCAGGAGTGCCTTTGTTTAGGACAGTCTCATGTTTAGGCAGAGAGAAGGAGCCATTTATGTATTGGTTGGTCCAAGCATGTGTTTGTAGATTCACAGTTCTCTAGGGAGCTTTCCTAGGTGTAGTCTGAAACCGGACCCCCATATGTAGAGGGCAGGGAGAGACGAAGAAAGAGGCATGGCACTCCAGGTTGGTAGGTGGCAGTTTTAACAGTAACAAAGGGAACTTACATATGAGGCTTGTCTTGGGCAGCAGTAAGATGAATGGATCCCCATACCTACGCTTTAAATCTTAAAAGGTTATGAAAAGACCCTAAATGGGTTTAGTTACATGTACCATGCAGCTGTTTTCAACATCACATCACCATCTTGAGGCTATGTCCTTCGAGCAGACTCTGGGAGTGAGAAAGGCAAGCAAACCCACATTCCAAGGATGGGGGTTGTGCAGCAAGGAGCCTGTTAGTGTCTGGGTCCAGCTCACAGGTCAATCAGTGTTTTTTGTTTTTTGGAGTTTTTTTTTTTTAATTTATTTTTTTTATTTATTTGAGAGAGAGAGAGAGACTGGGGTGGGGCAGAGGGAGAGGGTGAGAGAATCTCAAGTAAACTTCTTACTGAGTGTGGTGCCCGACATGGGGCTTGATCCCAGGACCCTGAGATATGACCTGAACCAAAATCAAGAGTCAGATGCTTAATGAACTGAGTCATCCAGGTGCCCCTCAATCAGTGGTCTTTTTTATAGCATTCCCCAACAATGTTACAGTTGCTTTTAGATGCCCATGAGCAAAAAGAGGATGAAGTGGGAAATGGCCAAACTTTAGAACCTAAGAATGTTCAGGGTTGGCTCCTTCATTTGCCACATTGGTTTTCTTTCACAGGTGAATTAGGATAAAAAAAGATAAAATTCCCAAAACAGAGAGGGCTTGGAGCAATAATGCATCTTTTCAAAAAATCGTTTGCAGATACAGTTCATAGATTTCTATTTTGGCCAATAGCCAAGCCATTTCTGGATAAAAAGACAGAGGGGGCATTAGCAGTAGGAAAACTATAGCTTTTGTCTGTGCTGTAGGCATTTGAACCAGGCCTTATAGATTATTACAAACAGCTGTAGAATTATTGGTCATTATGGGCCAGCTGAAATGAGATAGTAAATTTTAAAAAAGTACAATAATTGGAAAGTCAAAAGGAGAAGGAGATAGGACAGATAATCCCCAACTTATGGTGACTGGCCTTAACAATTTTCAATTTCATGATGGTGTACTTCAAATTTTTTATTTTGATCTTTTCTTGGGCTAGGGATATATGTGTGATACTCTCTTATGATGCTTCACTTATCTGGTGATGCCACAATTCCCAGTCAACCATGTGATCATGATGGTCAACAACCAATACACTTACAACCATCCTGTACCTATACAATCATTCTGTTTTCACTTTCAGTACAGTATTCAATAGGTTACATGAGACACTTTATTATAAAAAAGGTTTGTGTTAGATGGTTTTGCCCAACTGTAAACTAATGTGTTTTGAGCATATGTAAGGCAGGCTAGGCTAAGCTATGATGTTTAGTAGGTTAGATGCATTAAAATGTATTTTCAACTTATGATATTTTTAACTTAAAATGGATTTATCAGGATGTAATTCCATTGTAAGTTGAAGATCTGTAGTGGATGTGGCAGATAGAGTCTGGATAGAGCAGAATTGGAAGGAAAGAATACAGTTTAATTTAACATGGCATGAGCCTTCTTTTCCCGTTCTACAGGTGAAGATGCTGAGCCTCAGGGAGGTTGTGAATGAGACTCAAGAATTTGGATGTGCAGAGCTAGAAATAAACACCAAGTCCATGTCACTCCAAAGGCTCTTCAAGGGCTTCAGGTAAAAGCCAGGTCAGCAGAAGCAGGCAGGAGAAATACCCTGGTTCACGGGTGCAAGCAGCTTGCTCATGGATACACAGACTTTTACATTTTCAGAGCTGCTCACTGGTTCTTTTAAGAACCTCACATAGCTGGGGGTTTACATGGACTCCAATAATGATGGAATGGAAGCAAGGGCCTAGTGGGGAAAGCTTGATGCCTGGGGTGGAGGGGTAGATTTTTGAAGAGAGCCCAAAAAGGAAGTCCCTCTGGAGAGAGGGAAGAACTTAAGCATTCCTACTGAACTTCAGAGTGAGTCTTGCTAAGTTGACTTCAGTGTCCTGTGTAGGCTGCTATAACCAGAAATACTCTTTGTTTTAATAAAGGTGATTTTTTCATTATGAAAATAATACATGCTCATTACAGGAAGTATGGAAAATACAGAAAAAGAAATGAGGGGAAACAATCCTACTTGGTAAGACAACTGCTATTAAAACTGATTGTAATTCTTTCCAGTTTTTTTATTCATATAATTCATATCCTTGTGATCATGAATTAAATGTTAAGAAAAAGATGCTCTTATCACTTAGCATTGTAAAACAAGCATTTTCTATCTTTTGTTTAACATGTTATAATATTGTAATTATATATATAAATCTAAATTATTGTAATTTAGAAAATTATAAACTATTCTATCATATGCATTTACTACAGTGTACCTAACCTATTGTTGAGCATTTAGGTTAGGATATTGATTACAGTGCGCTTCAGAATGGAATTACTGGATCAAAGATATAGAAGTTTTGAGGACCTGAGACAGTTAGTGGGGCTGGATTCTTGCTTAGATAGACCTTCTTAGAGAAGTCATATTCCTGGTTTGATCTTCAAGTTTGCCTGTCCATAAATTTTGTTCTGTTAGTACCAGAAATGATTGGTTCTTAGGAGTTGTATAGAATTGAATTATACTAATGTAAAATGGAAATTAGAAGCACTACATGGAGGTATGGAAGTCATTAGTGCTGTTTGTCAATATTTCTGCTCTTCGCTTCCCAAACACACTATAGGATCGTATATCCTCCTCCCTGTGGTTGGCTGAGACATGTGTCTAGTCGTGATGAGGAGTTGGGTTTGGAAGCAAACACTTACTTGCAGGGAGAAGACCTTCCAGAGTTCTCTTTCCTTTGTCACTGTGCCTAGCAACTTTTGAGGGGGTGTCTGCTCCATCAGCCTGGCTCCTTGAGCGACTAACAAGCAGAGCCCTCTGCCAGCCCTCAATGGCAGTGTGAGCAAGGAACAAAGCTTCACCATCAAAAGTCACTGAGACTTGAAATTTGGTTGTTACTGAAGCATGACTTAGCCTGTTGTCATGGTACAGAGGAGATTTTAACATTAGCATATTTAACATATTTAATCTCTAATTAGAATCAACTGAAGTTAAAAGATTGCTATTAGAAATTAATCACAATAAAAGGAAATAATTATATATCTCAGCTGTTATACAACCCTTGATTAAGGGTACTGTGATGTTCAATATTATTAACACTCCCTTCTCCCAGACAGTCTGAGCTAGGCAATGCCAACATGTACCTTCTCCTTTTCTATACTTTGTTTTATTTATTAAGTTTTTTTTTAATCCGATATGGTTAACATACAGTGTTATATTAGTTTTGGGTGTACAATATAGTGATTCAACACTTCCATAGATTACATGGTACTCATCATGGTAAGTGCACTCCTTAATCCCCAACACCTATTTCCCCCATCCCCCCCCCCCCCCCCCCCGGCAACCATCAGTTTGTTCTCTATAGTTAAAATCTGTTTCTTGGTTTGTCTCTCTCTTTTTGTCCCCTTTGCTCATTTGTTTTATTTCTTAAATGCCACGTATAACTGAAATTATATGTCTTTCTATGAATTATCACTTAGCATTACACTCTTTAGCTCCATCCATGTTATTGTAAATGGCAAGATTTCATTCTTTTTTATGGCTGAATCATACACACACACACACACACACACATGCACGCACACACACACACCACATCTTCTTTATCCATTCATCTACCAATGGATATGTGGACTGCTTCCGTAATTTGGCTATTGTAAATAATGCTGCAATAAACATAGGTGTGCATATATCCTCTTGAATTAGTGTTTTGGGGTTTTTTTTTGTTTTGGGGGGGTTTTTTTTTGCATAAATACACAGTGGTGCCATTACTTTTTTTTAATTTTCTGAGGAAGCTCCATACTGTTTTCCACAGTGGCTCCACCAGTTTGCATTCCCACCAACAGTACACAAGGGTTCCTTTTTCTCCACATCCTCATCAATACTTGTTTCTTCTGTTGTTGATTTTAGACATTCCAATAGGTGTGAGATGATATATTGTGGTTTTGATTTGTATTTCCCTGATGATGAGTGTTGTTGAGCATCTTTTCATGTGTCTGTTGACCATCTGTATGTCTCCTTTGGAGAAATGTCTGTTCATGTTTTCTGCCTTTTTTTTAATTGGATTATCTGGGTTTTGGGTGTTGTGTTTTGTAAGTTCTTTATATATTTTGGATACTAACCCTTTATCAGAGATGTCATTTGCAAATATCTTCTCCCATTCCATAGGTTGCCTTTTAGTTTTGTTGATTGTTTCCTTCACTATGCAGAAGCCTTTTATTTTGGTATAGTCCCAATAGTTTATTTTTGCTTTTATTTCCCTTGCCTCAGGAGACACATCTAGAAAAATGTTGCTATAGCTGATGTCAGAGAAATTACTGTCTGTGCTCTATTCCAGGATTTGTATGGTTTCTGGTCTCACATTTAGGTCTTTCATCCATTTTGAATTAATTTCTGTCTATGGTGTACAAAAGTGGTCCAGTTTCATTCTTTTGCATGTAGCTGTCCATTTTTCACACCACCATTTGTTGAAGAGACTGTCTTTTTCCCATTGCATATTCTTTCCTCCTTTGTCAAAGATTAATTGACCATGTAATTGTGGGTTTATTTCTGGGTTTTCTATTCTGTTCCATTGATCTATGTGTCTATTTTTGTGCCAGTACCATTCTGTCTTGATCACTACAGCTTTGTAGTATGATGTCTAGTCTGGAGGTAGTTTTTCTCCAGTTTTGTTTTTCTAAGATTGCTGTGGCTATTCAGGGTCTTTTGTGGTTCCATACAAATTTTAGGATTGTGTGTTCTAGTTCTGTGAAAAATGCTGTTGGTATTTTGATAGGGATTGTATTGAATCTGTAACTTGCTTTGGGTAATATAGACAGTTTAACAATATTTGTTCTTCCAATCCATAAGCATGGAATGTCTTTCCATTTCTTTGTGCCTTCTTCAATTTCTTGCATCAATATGTTTTATACTTTTTAGACTACAGATCTTTTACCTCTATGGTTAAGTCTTATTTCTAGGTACTTCATTATTTTTTGGTGCAATTGTAAATGGGTTATTTTATTAATTTCTTTTTCTGCTGCTTCATTATTAGTATATAGAAGTGTAACAGATTTCTGTACATTGGTTTTGTATCCTGTGACTTTACTGAATTCATTTATCAGTTCTGGCAGTATTTTGGTGGTCTTTTGGATTTCTATATAGAGCATCATGTCTTCTGCAAATAATGAAAGTTTGACTTCTTCCCTGCCACCTTGGATGCCTTTTATTCCTTTTTCTTGTCTGATGGCTGTGGCTAGGACTGCAGTACTATGTTGAATAAAAGTGGTGAGAGTGGACCTTCTTGTCTTGTTCCTGACCTTTGGGGAAAAGCTGTCCATTTTCTCCACTGAGTATGATGTTCACTGAGAGTTTTTCATATGTGGCTTTTATTATGTTGAGGTATATTCCCTCTAATGCTACTTTGTTGAGGGATTTTATCATGAATTGATATTGTTCTTTGTCAAATGCTTTTTCTGTATCTATTGAAATGATCATATGGTTTTTATCCTTTCTCTTATTGATATGAAATACCATGCTGACTGATTTGTTAATATTGAATCACCTTTGCATCCTGGGAATAAATCCCACCTTATTGTGCTGAATGACTTTTTTTAATGTATTGTTGGATTCAGTTTGCTAGTATTTTGTTGAGGATATTGGCATCTGTATTCATCAGAGATATTGGCCTATAGTTCTCCTTTTTTGTGGTGTCTTTATCTGGTTTTGGTATCAGGGTAATGCTGGCCTCATAGAATGAATTTGGAAGTTTTCCTTCCTCTTATATTTTTTTGGAATAGTTTGAAAAGAATAAGTATCAACTCTTCTTTAAGAGTTTGGTAGAATTCCCCTATAAAGCCATCTGGTCGTGGACTTTTGTTTGTTGGGAGTTTTTTGATTACTGATTCAGTTGCCTTGCTAGTAATTGGTCTGTTCAAATTTTCTATTTCTTCCTGCTTCAGTTTTGGTAGGTTATATGTTTCTGGGAATTTATCAATTTCTCCCAGGTTGCCCAATTTGTTGGCATAAATTTTTTCATAATATTCTCTTACAATTGTTTATATTTCTGTGGCGTTGGTTATTATTTCTCTTCTCTCATTTGTGATTTTGTTTATTTGAGTCCTCTTTCTCTCTCTCTCTTTGATGAGTTTGGCTAGAGGTTTATCAATTGTATTCTTTTTTTCCAAAGAACCAGCTCCTGGTTTCATTGATCTGTTCTATTGGTTTTTTGTTTTTGTTTTTGTTTTTTAGTTTCTATACCATTTCTTTCTGCTCTAATCTTTATTTCCTTCCTTCGGCTGGCTTTTAGTTTTGTTTGCTCTTCTTTTTCTAGCTCCTTTAGGTGTAAGTTTAGGTTGTTTATTCCTTTTCTACACTTTTCATTGTTTACTATGCCACCTTCTGATGGTTACAGTCTTTCTTTAATTGTTGCTGCCTTTATTTTAAAAGTCATACGGTTATTTAAAAAATGAACAGTTTAGAATCAAATGAAAAAGATCTGCTTTCTCTCCTCCCTACTAGCCTACTTAATTTAACTTAATTTAACTTATTTACCTGTTTCTTTTTAATGACAACAGAGTTTTCTATTTCAAAGATTTACTATCCTTAATTTAACTGGTCATACAGCTATTTAAAAAATGAATAGTTTAGAATCAAATGAAAAAGATCTGCTTTCTCTCCTCCCTACTAACCTACTTCCTAAGGTTGAGTTTGGAGTCCACCCCTCCAGGCATTTTCTTTGCAGTTCCAAACACAAATGAATCCCACTCTTCATATTGTTCTACATCTTGTTTTTTTACTTTGTTTTTCAAGTATCTATTCATGTTGGTGCATATTTACCGGTTTCTTTTTCTTTTTAATTACAACAGAGTTTTCTATTTCAAAGATTTACTATCCTTAATTTAACTGGTTGCTGTTGATAGACATTTTTGGTCTTTCCAGTCTTTTGCTATTGTTAACTTGCACAAGTGTGCAAATTAATCCAGAGGGAAAATTCCTAAAATTGGAATTCTGAGTTGCAGGGAATTTGCAGCTTAAATGCCAATAAATATTGCCAATTCCTTTCCCAAAGGTTGAATCAATTGAATGGGATTGTATATCAATACAGTGTGAGAATTCTTTTTCCACTGTCAAGAACACAGGATACTATGAAACATTTTTAAATCTCTGCCCTTATAATCAAGGAAAAGAGGTGTTTTGTTATGGTTTAAAGTGTATTTCCTTAATTATAGGTGAGTGTGTGCTTGTTCTTTCTTTAAATATGTTAATACTTTTAGTATAGTGAGGCCTAAGTGGGTTCTTTGTCTTTAAGGTGAGTTGTTTTTATTATTTGAATCTTGGAGAATAGCCTTATTTTTAAGCATCAAAAAAGTACCTCAATGTTGTTATTATTCATTTACTGAATAAACAGAGCTCACAGCATTTCTAAGACCTTGATATATATATTGCCACTGGGATGTTTTATAATGACTTCATCCAAGGCAGACGGGCTGGGAATTGGCCAGCCCTTTCACCTCTCAGTTAATTGATGTGACATATTATTTCATTGCAGCAATTCAGCTTTGTGTCCTTGCCCACTGATGTACTGGAAATTGAGGTGAAGGACAAGTTTGCTAAGAGCCGCCCCATCATCAAGCGCTTCTTGGGAAAGCTGTCGATGCCCGTTCAAAGACTCCTGGAAAGACACGCCATAGGGTAAACCTGTGACTGAGACCTCAATATCACTAAGTCTTCAGCGAGCAGGCAAAGGGAGGCCTACAAGCTGCAACAATATAGTCTCGCGGAGACTCAAACTAAAATGGTGGTATTGAATTTCCTTGGCTTCTCCCATTAATTATGTTGCTCCAGCCACAACATTCAATTAAATGAACCCTTCCCTTTCCTCTTGTTTGTGTACCGCTGGTTACTTATGCAAGAGAGTAGAAAATCCCAAGACAATATTGAAAGAAGCCCTGTTTCAACTATTCAACTCTGCTGTTACAGCATGAAAGCAGCCCCAGACAATAAGTAAACTAAAAAATGGGGCATTTTTCTATACAGGTAGAAATTAAAATTTGCTTTACTATCAAGAATATTATTTCTGCTTGTGTGTAGGATTTAATCATTTGGGACGCTCCTCTAACAAGATGAAATCCTGGGTTACTAGAGTAGAGAGACTTAGAAAATGCTAGTATTTGTAGAAAATGCTAGATACTATGTATGAAATTTTAAAAGCATGAATTCTCATGGATGACAGCAATTAAGTTACTTGCAGAATTCAGTTGTATATAAGAATGTTTCTGTTAGTATCTTTTATTTTCATGTCCTCTCATGATTCTCATTAAAATGGACTCTTACCAGATGAAATATTTCTATATAGTATATACTTCCTTAGTTAGCAGCAACTATATTTGTAAATGCTAAGTATAGCTCTCTGGCCATAAATCTACGCTATGCCATGCTATACAATTGTAACCCTTAGAATGATATCGAAGGAATGAGGAGAATTGGCAGAAAAGCCTGGAACAAATGCAAGGCATAGCAAATTTAGTTTTTGTCTCACTGCCTGGTTATCTTTAGGCATCTCCTGATTTCAACTAGGTTTTGGGTTCAAGATCTCTTTCCTATGGTCATAAGTAGATTTGCTTCATAATATTGACCAAGGTCCTTTCTAAATAAACAAAATATTGTGGTTCATTCTGTTTTCCTACATATAATGCTTTATTTAATGGACCTCCTAGGAACTTCAAACACTAAACTACGGTTTACCAAAGAAATATATTAACTTAGAGTATCATTGGGATATATGTTGTTTCATAATGCTGGTATTTTCTAGAAACATTAAAACACTACCAGCCAGCAACTTACCTTTTTATTTTAGTATGACCAATGAATAAATGGAATGAATACAGAATCATCTGAGTAACAAACGGTTTTGGAATATGTCTTGTTAGTATTAGATAAACTGGATTTGTTAATTCTTGAATAGCCAAGGTAGTTACCTTTCCTATTTAAACCAAGGTGGGGGTGGGGGGGCGGGTAATGTACTCTGCTAAAGCTTACATTGTTGATGAAACTGTAAAAGCAAACTTTCAAGTTGATTCCCCCTGGATAATTCTCTTCTTTATAATCAAGAAATTGCCCTGAGTGGGCAGAGGGGATGATGCCAGATGCCAGGATGGAGTTTCAGAATCTGTATGTAGGACTGTGGAGTTGGTGTAACTGGAAACCAACCTACAAGTCTTGCTTCAGTCCATCCTGCAGCAGGTCCCTTTCTGAAGCACTCCACAGCTCTCCACACCACTCCAGTAACCATGACAGCATCCTTTCTTAGACACTATGCATATATACTGCAAGACATGCGTCTGTTGCTGGCAATGTCCATTAAGGGCATTGGAAAATGTCAGCCTGCACAAGAAAAGCAAGCAAAGATATCCATGTCTTTTTTGTTGTTATTGTTGTCTTTTTGGGGTTTTCTTGGCTTATAACACAGGCTGGCAGAAAACCTTCTGTAAGGGGCCAAGTAGTAAATATTTCAGGCTTTGTGGACCATGCAGTCTCCGTTTCAACTATTCAACTCTGCCGTTGTAGCATGAAAGCAGCCCCAGACAATAAACTAATAAGCATGGCTGCATTCTAATAAAACTTTTATTTTGGGAACTGAAATTTGATTTTCAGACAATTTTCCTGTGTCACAAAATATTATTCTTCTTTTGTTATTTTTTTTTTCTAACCGTTTTAAAATGTAAAACGCTCATAGCTGTACAAAAATAGGTGGTGGGCCAGATTTGAGCCCTGGGCCACAGTTTGCTCACTCCTGCTTTAGAATATTCAATAAGGATTTTCTTGACGTTTTTCATTGCTGTTGAGCAGATGTACTTTCCCACCTTTACCTTATGTCCATCTTCTATGCACCTGAGCGGATCATCACCTCCTATTAGCAGGGCCTCCCCGGACTTGCCTATCTCACCTCCTGGCATAGAAAGCATGCTGTGTAATCTTCAAGGAGAGGTACTGACCAGATCTGTAAATGGTGCTTATTTCCTTCTAGGGATAGGGTGGTCAGCTATACACTTGGCCGCAGGCTTCCAACAGATCATGTGAGTGGACAGCTGCAATTCCGATTCGAGATCACGTCCTCCATCCACCCAGGTATTTTTGGCATGAACTTCATGTCTTGTCCTAGCCTAGGGTTGGTGTGGTTCCTTTCTCTAAAATATAATAACCATGGTTCTCTCCAGACATGTCCTAGGTTTTGTGGTTCTCTCTCTTCTCCATTTGAGGCCCAGAAGCCAGTGATCTGTTCTGGAAGCCAGGTTGCTGTCCCCTTGATTGAGAGGCTCCTCTTCATTCTGGTGACCCAAAGGTAGAGGGTTAGACAGTGGAGTGGGATTTGACAATGAGGCCCACACGGGTATGGAGCCGTGTCTAATTTATCATTTGACTCCCAGCACCCACATAGGAGATGCTCAATAGATGCTGATTCATTGCAAACATGAATGAATCAATGAATCAATGAATCAATGAGAAACATGAATGAATGTGATACATATCATATTATTGAAGAACTATTATTGCACAATGGATTTATCCCAGGGAAAAATGAAAACTAGAAGTTAGAAAACTTCAGAATCATCCAGTTTTCTGTTTTTCAAGCCAAAACATATTTCCAAATAAGAATGATGAGAGGCCTCATAATTCCACTTTTGTTCTTCTCCCACAACCCCTATACTAAGTGTAGATCATGCTGAGAATTAGCCAGTCCTTCTGGGCCACATTTATGAGTTGCTGGTAAAGCTAATGAGGCTTTGAAAACTCCAAGTCGGTAGTTTATCACTGCCCACTCATTAAAAGACCAGTTATACTTGTCTATATCTAATATATAATGCAGAGTGTAAGAAAACACCCTGACTGCTTTGTCCTTTCACACCCAGCCTTTTCTTCATCCTGAGAATAAAACTGACTCTTCCTTCACCGTAGCAGTAAAGATGGCCTCATGGCTCATCAGAGACATCATTCATCTTCAATCAGAACACTGCACTAGTGCTTCTGAAATGGGAAGTTCACACCAGGCAGGGATCCAGCAGAGCAAGCAACTGGGGGAAAGTAGAAGTAAACAGTGGTTGCTGTTCCTTGAATGGTTGCTTGATGTGGAGACCTCGTTTATTTTCCATTGCAATAACCCCCAGGTGGCCTGGCAGTCTGAGCTACTGAAGGACCCTGGTTGCTCCCATCAACTAGCCATTTTCTGCTCTGCAGTTGTTAAGAACCTGGCTTACCCATTCTGCCACCTGCTGGACCCAGCCAGAGGAGACACTCTGCGCAAGCATTAACCTTGTCTGGTAGGGCAAGGCACTAATAACCCCCAAGGGCTTCTTTGCAGTCTTCCCTGAAGCAAACGTTGCTGAGCACCCACCATGTGCCAGGAACTGGGGTAGTTCTAGGCTTTGGGTATTTTAACCAAAACTATGAATTCCCTTGAAACAGAATTCTGAAATATGTCACGACTGCAAACTGTCATTAACATAAGGAGAACTCACTGACATAACCTAATAAAATTTAAAAAACAAAAACATGAGAACTCATCCTTATGGAATTTTTTAGCCGAGCTTTGGCCTGCGGGAAACCCTCCTCAACGCCTGCATCCAATATCCTCACGCAGAAGTCCTTTAGGATGGCTTACAGGGCCGGCAGAGTCCACCAGTGCCCTAACCGCACAATGCTCTCTTCTGGAAGAAATGACATTTTCTTCTCGCCCGCAGATGACGAGGAGATCTCCCTGAGCGCCGATCCCGAGTCCGCGGAAATTCGGCACAGCGCCATGAACAGCCTGGTGGCCAGCAGCCGCGGGGAGCCTCCGGGCGAGGCCCTGGAGCCCTCCGGGAGCTCGGAGCGCGAGCCGCCGAGCCAGGGCGGCGCCGGGGACGCTGCCGGGAGCGAGAGCCTGGAGCTTGCCGAGCCGGTTGAGGAAGCGGCAGGTACCACCGAGGCAGGAGACGACGGAGCGGGCTCGGTGGGACCTGACGGGGCTGGGGAGCTTCTGGGCCTGGGGCGCGAGGACGCCGAGCCCGCCCCGAGTGCGGAAGAAGTGGCCGAGCGGCTGGAGCTGGGTGGGGAGGCGCCCCCAGCGGGGCTGCTGGAGGACGGTGAAGCCCCGGGCGGCACCGGGGAGCCCGAGGCGGAGGAAGCGGCCGCAGAGAGCCGGGCGGGGGGAGAGGAGAAGGAGCAGGCGGAGGAGGAGGAGGAGGAGGAGGAGGAGGAGGGCGACGTGTCTGCCCTGGCGCAGGGGGAGGACAGGCTGCAGCTGCGGGCCTCGGTGAAGAGGAAAAGCAGGCCCTGCTCCTTGCCGGTGTCCGAGCTGGAGACGGTGATCGCGTCGGCTTGCGGAGACCCCGAGACCCCGCGGACACACTACATCCGCATCCACACCCTGCTGCACAGCATGCCCTCGGCGCAGGGCGGCGCGAGCGACGAGGGCCCGGAGGAGGAGGCCACCCTCCAGGACGCCTCGGAGAAGGACGGGCTTAGCGAGGCGGACACGCTAGCTGCCGCGCCCCCTCCCCTCGAGGAGGACGGGGAGGGCCCCGAGGGGGCCAGTCCGGGCACGGCGACCCCCGGCCGCTCGGGCCTGACCAACGGCCTCGTCCCCGACGGCGACGTGCTCCCCAGCACGGGCAGCGAGAGCGACTCGAGCCCCCGGCAGGGCGGGGACCACAGCTGCGAGGGCTGCGACACGCCGTGCTGCAGCCCCTCGTGCTACAGCTCCTCGTGCTACAGCAGCTCCTGCTACAGCCCCTCGTGCTACAGCGGCAGCAGGCTCGCCAGCCACACGCGCTTCTCCTCGGTGGACAGCGCCAAGGCCTCGGAGAGCACCGTCTTCTCGTCGCAGGACGACGACGACGACGACGAGAACAGTGCGTTCGAGTCCGTGCCGGACTCGGTGCAGAGCCCGGAGCTGGACCCGGAGTCGGCCAGCGGTGCCGCGCCGTGGCACGACGAGCTGGCCACCGCCGCCGGGAGCGTGGCGCGCACCGTGGAAGGTCTGGAGTCCCCCGCGGCAGGGCCAAGCCATCGGAGAGAAGGTTAGACCTCAAACCTGGTCAGAGTGAGAGTAGGACCACCAGGGGGCCGCAGGTCTCACCAACAAGGTTGAAAAACAAGTGAGAGGCTCAGTCTCAGATGGGGTTGCTGGGGCAACGTGTGCCTGTCCTGACCATGTATGTGTGCCCGTGTCTATGTGTACGTAAGTATCCGCGGCCGCGACTAGCACGCCTCCACCCGCTCGCAGACACACACCGAGAATGACAGCTGGTGCACGCATGTGAGTGTGCTCTTGTGTGTGTGCGTCTGTCTCACCCAAGCACTAGAACTGGCTACACGTGTTCGTGTTACCCTTCTAGTCTTGACAATGACCAGAGCCAGAGGCAGTATTGAATGATCTGAACAGAAAACATTCGGCAACCCTGCGGTGGATAATGTGTAAATATCTGCTGACTTCCCAAAACATATGGGAGATTAGCAGTAAATGTTAATACAAGTTGAAGAACATTGATTTTACCTCTGCTTTAGAATTTAACTTAGCCTGTGTACATACGGAAATGTATAGCCTACATGTATTTGTCAGTATTTCTGTCTGCTCAGTTCTCGTTATTGTTGTTTTTTTACTATTATTCAGTTTATTCAATCTAAAAACAAAAACAGCTCACCCATTTCTCCCATTCCCACTCCTGCCTCTGGCAACCATCAGTCTGTTGCCTGCTCACTTGAAAACTACAAAACGTTAATGAAAGAAATTGAAGAAGACACAAATAAATGGGAAGATCTTCCATGCTGATGGATTGGAAGAATCCATACTGTTAAAATGTCCATTCTACCCAAAGCAACATTATTACAAGCTTGCAAGATTCCAGGCAATCCCTATCAAAATTCCAGTGGCATTTTTCACAAAAATAGAACAAACGAGCCTATAATGTATATGGAACCATAAAAGGCCCCAAATAGCCAAAGCAGTCTTGAGAAAGAACAAAGCTGGAGGCCTCATGCTTTCTGATTTCAAACTACAAAGCTATAGTAATTAATTCTGGTGTTGTGTTCTGTTGTTTTTTGTTTGTTTTGTTTTATTTTGGCTAACGGAAGGGGAAAATAACATGAATTCGTAAATCACTTTGTTTCAAGTGGGATTCTAATCCAAAAGCTGCCACCTTTGGTTTTAAAATATATTCTGTATTTTAACCAAAGATGTTTCTTCTTAGTCATGCCTGTGGAATCTTCTATAAAATTAACTCACATTTCTTTATCCAGATTTGGGAACCATCTTCCAGTCAAGTGACAGTGACATGGGGGGAAATAATTCAAAGGTCACATAATACTGTGAAATAATTCAGTTGCTTTAAAGGAGAGAAATATAGATTCTGCTGTTTTTCTGCTCTACTGTTTACGTTAGACTCCAAACAAAGGTGGTGGTGTTGTCTCTAGATTGTAAGCTCATCAAGGGCCAGAACTGTATTTTCTCTGTTTGATTCTTAGCACCTAAACAAATGCCTGGCACCTGTAAATTTTTAGAGGAACCAAAGTGAGCACAAAAATTAATCCTGAGTATTTGACAATGCCCAATTCCGCATTTCAGAGAAAGAAGGAGTGAGGGAAAGTGGCACATGGGATGAGGAGACGTGCAAAGAGATCGGTAAAGAAAGAGAACCACAGGGAGGAAAACCAGAGTGGCACGCAATATGGAAAGGCACACCTGAGAATGGGATGGATAATTCCTTTCTTTACTGAGGATGTTTTGAGTCCCTTTGCTCTGGGCCAGATGCTATGTGCAGAGCACAGGTAGATGGATAAGTGTCAGAAGGTGTGAGAGGGGCTCAGTAATTACAACAGAATTAAAAATAATTATAGTATAAAGAGATCTGGGGATATAAACCTAAAGGGCACGACTAGGATCTGGCAGGGGGGTTTTAGTCCAGAGGTTGGCAAACCTTTCTGTAAAGGGGCTGATAATAAATATTTTAGACTTTGTAGGTCAAGAGGCAAAATCAAGCAACTCTTCTCACCAAAGGCTACTTTTTTTTTTTTTTTAACAGTTTTACATTTAAAAGTGTAATAACCATTCTTAGCTCAGAGCCATACAACAACAAGGCCAGAGTCATAGTTTGTCGACCTGCTGTGGCCTGTGGTATATATTTTGACCACCGTGTTGGGGGACAATCCACATATGGTTAATTGAAAATTGGTTCAGTATACAAAGGCATGTTTTACAAAAAAAAAACAAAAACAAAACAAAACAAACAAAAACACTGTCCGCGCCCTTGACGGACGAACAGCCCAACTGGGAAAACTCCTCCTTAGCAGA